AAGGAAGGAAGGAAGGAAGGAAAGAAAAAAAGAAAGAAAGAAAGAAAGAAAGAAAGAAAAAGAAAGAAAGAAAAAAGGAAGGAAGGAAGGAAGGAAAGAAAGAAGAGGAAGGAAGGAAGGAAGGAAGGAAAGAAAGAAGGAAGGAAAGAAAGAAAGAAAGAAAGAAAGAAAGAAAGAAAGAAAGAAAGAAAGAAAGAAAGAAAGAAAGAAAGAAAGAAAGAAAGAAAGAAAGAAAGAAAAATCTGCCAGCACAAGCCGGGCGAGTGCTGTCAATTCTCATGTTTACAGAAGTTTTCCCAACTTCTGGCGGAAGATCCCCGCTTCCTCCAGCAGGTGGCAGCCGAGTCAGAACTGTGCCCGGCGCGGAGTAATGACGTAAGCCTCCTTTCCCACGTGGAGGCTACTTTGAGCAGAGACGTCCGGCTGCAGGTTTGGGGTGATGTTGTTTTTTTTTTGTTGTTGTTGCAAAGTTGGGAGGGGGAGGTAAGACAGCGCACCATATTTTGGGAGGGGCGTTGGAGACAGGCGGCCCTGGGGGTGGGAGCAGAGAAGGAACAACCATCCCAAGGAATAACAGAATAACAAGACTTGGAGGGGACCTTGGAGGTCTTATAGTCTGACCCCCCCCCTACTCAGGGTTCCCCCTACATCTCATTCTCATCATGGTTGTGCTTGGTTGCCCAAGTCAGGCATACGTTCAGGCTGGATTTTGCATTTTTCTCCACTCTATGGAGTCCTTCCCAAGGACCTGAGATGGGCAGATGTTCTTGTTTAATAATATAGGTTTGGTTGCAGAATTATTCCAAGTCAAGCTGCCTTTAGCAATTGTCGGGGGGGTAATTTGTTATTATGAAGACGGTTCATTGCATAGTCAGCCAGATGTTGAAACTGGATTTGGCATTTTTGTCCGCCTATGGAGTCCTTTCCAAGGACCCGGGACGGGCAGATGTGAATGTTTGATGGTGTTTAGAGGTCTTGTTGAAGGATGTCAACTATAATAATAATAATAATAATAATAATAATAATAATAATAATAGTAGTAGTAGTAGTAGTAGTAGTAGTAATAGTAAAGTTGGAAGGGACCTTGAAGGTCTTCTAGTCCAACCCCCTGCTCAGGCAGGAAACCCTATCCCATTTCGGACAAATGGCTGTCCAGACTCTTCTTAAAAACTTCCAGTGTTAGAACATTCACCGCTTCTGTTCCCATTCTGTTCCCAATCAAGCTGCCTTTTGCAATTGACTGCTCAAGAATTTGTCAATGCCAATGGTGTTTTAAGGGGTGTCTCTCCTTTTGGTTTCCAGGCCAGAGTGCAAAGAGCTCAACGCCCCGAGGCTTCACCATGACGGCGGATGTTCAACGGCTCCTGATCCAGTTCAAAGATGAAGCCGGGCAAGTTCTGGGGGCTCCGTTTGATGTCCCCGTGGATATCACCCCGGAAAAGCTCCAGTTGGTTTGCAATACTCTCTTGGAGAAGGTACAACTGAGGGGGAGGGGCTCCTTCCTTTCTTCCTCCTCTTCCCCCTCCCTCCCTCCTAACCTTCCTTCCTCCTTTCTTCATTTGTCATTCCTTCCTTTTCCTTCTCCTTCTCTTCTTCCCCTTTCACCCTTCCTCCCTCTCTCTTTCCTCTTCCTTTCTCCTTCCCCTTCCTCTCCTTCCTCCCTCCCTCCTCTCTCCTCTCTCTCTCCTTCCTTCCTTCTCCTCTTCTTCCCCTTCCTCCTCCTTCCTTCCTCCCTCCCTCTCTCCTCTCTTTCTTTCCATTCCTTCCTTCTTCCCTTCTTTCTCTTTCTCCTTCTTGCTTCCTTCCTTTTCCTCCTCCTCTCCTTCTCCTTCCTTCCTCCCTCTCTTCCTCCCCCTCTCTCTCCTCTCTCTTTCTCGCCCTTCCTTCCTTCCTTCCTTTCTGCTCCTCCTCCTCTTCCTTCCACTTCCTTTCCTTCCTCCCTCCCTCCTTCTTCCCTCCCTCTCCTTCCTTCCTTCCTTTCTTCCTTCCTTCTCTTCTTCCCCTTCCTCCTTCTCCTTCCTCCCTCCCTCCTCTCTCTTTCTTTCCATTCCTTCCTTCCTCCTTCCCTTCTCTCTCTCCTTCCTTCTTTCCTCCTTCCTTCCTCCCTCCCCCCTTCTCTCCTCTTTCTTTCCCTTCCTTCCTTCCTCCTCCTCCTCCTTCCTCTTTCTGCTCCTCCTTCCCCTTCCTTTCCTTCCTTCCTCCTTCCCCCCCTCTCTCCTTCCCTCCCTCTCTCCTTCCCTCCCTCCCTCCTTCCTTCCTTCCTTCCTTCCTTCCCCAGCTCCTTTAAAACAGTTCAAACTGATACAGTCCTCAAATGACTCTAACTGAGTCTGGAATTACCACCTCATCACGTCCAGTTTTACAGCCTTCTTTCTTGCGGTGCTTAAGTGGGCATCCTGGTAGTTAACTGAGCCTGTTTTCACCATAAGCAATTTTTGCCAGAAACCATAAATAAATGCCTGAAATAGGGGGGAAAAAAAACCACCGGACATCATAGGTGGGACGTGGCAAACAGCCATAAATACAAGCCAAGTGCCCATAATACATTTTGTGTGTGTGGGAGATGGTGTGTGTGTGTGTGTGTGTGTGTGTTTGCAGCTGACCTGACTGCGAAACAATTTGTAAGTAGCTCTGGGGAGGTCCATTGTAACTTTAAACACACTGGTCATTATGCAAGAACTACCTGTATTCGGAGATTGTATTCATTTATTTGTGAAATAGTTGTTATGTAGCCGCCCAACTCACACACACACAATGATTCTGGGCAGCGTATAAGATTAAAAAGCCACACACACCTGCCTCCAATCTCCATTTTTGGAGGGAACTGTATGTGAAGCAGGACCCAGTCCCGACAACCCAAAGCATGGGGAAACACAGCAATTCCGTCTCTCACCATTACCCCTTACTGCCTACCAAGCATTGACCCGCCCCTTCCCCATCTTGTGTCTTCCAAGGAGGATCCCCTGCCCTTGGCCTTCTACGTCCAGGAGTCCGAAATCGTGGCCTCCCTGCAGAAGACCCTGTCCGAACTGACCCTCGAGACCGAACGGGTGGTCGAGATCGTCTACCAACCCCTGGCTGTGTTCCGGGTGCGAGCCGTGACCCGCTGCACCAGCTCCTTGGAAGGCCACAGCGAGGCCGTCATCTCGGTCGCCTTTAGCCCTACCGGAAAGTAAGGGGAGACGCCGGTCGGATCGGGTGCCGGAGGGAAGGGGAGCTCAGGGCCCGGAAGACTTAGCCCAGGGGTAGGCCACCTTGACTCTTTTATGACTCGTGGACTTCAACTCCCAGAATTCCTGAGCCAGCCATGCTGAGGAGAAAGGGAGAGGTTTCCAAGCTGAGCCATGCTGGCTCAGGAATTCTGGGAGTTGAAGTCCACGAGTCATGAAGGGGCCATAGTTCCCTCATGCTGGCTCAGGAATTCTGGGAGTTGAAGTCCACGAGTCATGAAGGGGCCATAGTTCCCTCATGCTGACTCAGGAATTCTGGGAGTTGGTCCCCAAGACATGAAGGGGGCCATAGTTCCCTCATGCTGGCTCAGGAATTCTGGGAGTTGAAGTCCACGAGTCATGAAGGGGCCATAGTTCCCTCATGCTGACTCAGGAATTCTGGGAGTTGAAGTCCACGAGTCATGAAGGGGCCATAGTTCCCCCATGATGGCTCAGGAATTCTGGGAGTTGAAGTCCACAAGTCATGAAGGGGCCATAGTTCCCTCATGCTGGCTCAGGAATTCTGGGAGTTGAAGTCCACAAGTCATAAAAGGGCCAAGGTTGCCTAACCCTGACTTAGCCGCTGCTTAATACTTTTTGTGCGTGTGTAATTCCCTTAATAACCAGATGTGGCAAAAAAATAGCTCATAATATTGGATGTGACTTAATAGCCATCTTGAGCTGTGGTGGAGCAGTGGTTAGAGTGCCGTATTGCAGGCTGACTCTGCCCACAGCCAGGAAGTTCGATCCTGACAGGTTCAAGGTTGACTCAGCCTTCCGTCCTTCCGAGGTCGGTAAAACGAGAACGCAGAGTGTTGGAGGGCAATACGCTGACTCTAAACTTGTGAAGCGGTATACAAGTCTAAGTGCTATTGCTTGGGGGGGCGACGGAGGGAGGAGAAAGGGACAAAAGTGGGGAGAAAGAAAGGAAGTAGAGCAGGGAGGAAGGAAGGAAGAAAGGAGAAAAGGAGGGAGGAAGGAAGGAATGAGAAAGGGAAGGAGGGAAAAAGAAAGGGATGGAGGAGGACAGAAGGAATGAGAAAGGGAGAAAAGGAGGAGAACAGAAGGAAGAGAGGAAAGAAGGAAGAAATGAGGAAGGGAGCAAGC